AGTTTAAAAGTCAGTAATTTAATATGATTACATAGATACACATTATAACATATAATATAATTCATACAAAGTTATTTACAATACCGATCTGCTTTCATTTTACTTCTTCTATCTAACAAAGCTTCATGTAAATTTCCTTCTCGTTTTGCTTCTTCTAATTTATTGCGATCCTCTTTACTTACTCTCAATTTTTTATCCTGAAACTTTTGGAATTTCCTCCTAAAAAATGATAGACATTGAAATTTTCATACATTAAACATAATTTGTAATAATTTGTATGTATTACGTTTATTACTTACACATAATTCACCTCAACATCATGAAGGGAACCTTGTTCCTCTTTTGGAATATCTTTATTTGGATCATGAGCTTTTTGAGTTATACTTCTTATAGTACAAAACTCAGAAGATCCAGCAGTCCTACTTTGGCAAACAATATCATCTTCATGTGTAACGGATATAAAGCAATTGTTGCTATTTAAAATAGCAAGCTTCTTATCCTAAAAAAAAATCAAAGACTTTTTTGTAACATATATATATCATAAAGAAGAAAAAGAGAGGTTTTACATTAATGAATGTACCTGAAATATTGGTTCCCACTGTTCAATCATACCTACTGCGTCACTTCTACCAACAACAACACCTTTTTTGTCAACACCTAAGTATTTTCCATAACCAGATTTTAATGCAATTTTAGATTCACTTATTGGAAAAGCTGTTAAAATTTCTTCAGGAGAAGGTCCTTCACCTTCATTGTGAGGTGCACCTAAGGTAAATAATCCATTATCTAAAGCTTTCATGTATATATGACTTCCAAATTCAATTGCCACTGTTCCTGTGACTTCTGATACTTGTGTAGCTTTCCACCAACCACCTAAAAGTCGTAATAATCAATTTGATAATTGATGCATGTAAAATATTGTAAATAATTGCAAAAATAATTACAGTACCATGAGTTATAGTATCCTTATCTTCAGAAGTAATAGTATGTTCTTTTTCCTGTTTCTTCGATTTCCGCTTTTTTGATCTACAATGTTCAATAGATGAAAGTTTGTCATACAGGCATTGAAACTATTAGGTTAGGTGTAATATTTAATTATACCTTATTTTTTCACCTTTCAATACAAGTTTACTAGTCCGTACTTTATCGTATTCTGACATTTTCACAGTACTTTTTTATTAACTTAGAAACATTTGATTCATTAACATTAATTACTTATTTTATGATTTTCATTGATACATTTAAAATTATAAAATATTTTCATAATTTAGAAAGAAATGTTTTCCTATAACGTACACAAATATTTAAATGACAATTCAATTAACTAATAATCAATTTCTAAATAATAAACACTGTGATCACCACTTTTTTATTTTATGTTCATCTTCAAACCACAACACAACAAAGCGTCGAGTCTAGTTGTTTTTCACTAGTTATTTTTCAAGATGTATTCTACTAATATATGTATAGAAATTTTTTAATGAAAATATAAAATATATTAACAAATTTTTATATTAATTGTATAAGTAAAATGTTATTTCTGTAGTAATTACGTAATTAATAAATTATAAAATACAACTTTATATATAACAGATAACATATTAATAGGTTGTATATTTAACTCATTATTTACGATAAATTTGTGAACTTTTAATATTGAAGAATGAAGTATAGACCTTTAGCAAACAGTGAAGGAGAAAGAATTTAGCAAAATGTAGTCAGTAGCTTCATGTCCAGAACAAAGTACATACGTAAACAGAGAACAACTCCAAGAAATATCATACAGGGTACATATCTCATTTTAATCAATCCGCGCAATTATTTCCGCGGATTATTATTTACTATTCGTTATTTGAAAAATGTTTCATATAGAATTTCCTTAAAGGGGTAACCCTTAAAGTAAGGACAAAATTAATTGGAATTTTTTCAATTTTATTGTCTAGTAAGGAATGCCTCAGCAACAACTATTCCAAACATCATACAATGATAATTTTCGAAATTATAAAGAACAAAAATTTTTAATATTGTAATTCATATATTTTATTACTAAAATTATTACAATAGGCTATATTTAAGCGCAATAAATATTTCAATGTATACATAATACAAAAGTGCAAAAGCGAGTACCTTCGGGGACGTAGTTCAGATATTTGGAAACAAATATGCAGAATACAAAATTCGATTTGATTAATATAT